CGCACCAGTAGAATTCCGAAAGGATATTTTGGGACCATTTCCCAGGTTAATACCTTGCCAGCGGGTTTAACAGGAGCAATCTGACGAAGGTACTAACCAGCCATCATCTACTAAGCCACCATTTCAAAACACACAGTTCCTCTAACCCAAGGAAGCAGGGAAGGAAGGAAAGAAAAGAAAAAGAAAAAGAGAGAGAAGAGAGGGAGAGAAAGAGGAGGGAAGCGATGAGGGAAGGACAGAGGGAAGAGAAAACAAGGCCACTTGAACGTGAGCCGAGTGTCCCACCCCGCCGCAAGGCCTCGCGCCATCAAGGGCCTCATCCAGGGAATCCACATGATGGGGCGCAGTGGACCGTCTGCATTTGCTTTCACATCTGAGAAGAGAACTCAGCTGCAGATGTGTGCAGAGGTCGAGCAGTTCACCTGGGCCTGCCACAGCCCACCCCCTCGCAGGTGCAGGGGTCCTGGGTCAGCCACCCGCTCTTGAGGACGTGGCCCCGCGGGACACTACGGGGGCCACAAGCTGAGTCCTCCTCGTGCCATGAGTGTGCCTCACATTCACAGAGGTGTGGTCACCACAAAGATGGACAACATGAGCATGGCAGCGCTCCGGAGCCCACTCAGACTGCAGGGGTGGGAGCTGCCCGCCGGGCCCCGCACGTCTCTCTCCACATCTGGAAGCCTGCTCAGTTCTCCTTGATGTCTAGTTTCACTTTCGTGTCTTCTAGCTTAATCTGCTGTTCTTTTTCCCTGGTGGATGCTTCACCCAGAAACAAAGCCTGTCCCAAGGGCCGTGCAGCTTCCAGGAATCATTTGTTTCTTTGGGCTGCAGATATCCGTTCCATTCGTCTCTTCATGAACAAATCCTTTTTCGAGGAAGGCGCAAAACAATGCCATGCAAAATCTGTTGCTAATACCTCAGGTGTCCTGTCACTGACCGCAGCCTAATGGACATCTCAGAACCAAGCTGATGCGGCTGCCGGAAGGTCTGCAGCAACCACATAAGATTTGGAAACATGGGAACAGCTGCTCACTGCCGCCGGGACTTGCTTTACTTTGCTTTAAAAACTCTCTTTCCTTGGGGATATTCAGTCTTGCCGTGGGTCTGTGTGTCCGTCTCGCTAGGGTGTGTGTTCCGGCGGTGGACGTCGTCTTGCTGCCTGGGGTGTGTGCAGCACTTTGGCGGAGGCCTAGGGTCTGGCTGGCGTCCAGTAATTTATTAATAGTTTATTCAACAATTGATATTTACTGAATTAATAAGCAGGTGGACTCATAAAGTGAATGGTCTCAATTTCTCCACGGAAATGTTTGAGTTACACAGTATCCCCAACAAGGCTGCGTTCCAGCAAGGCCAGAAAGGGCTGTGAAGGGGGGCACCGAGTGACAGGTTTGGGAAGCAGCTCCCCAGACGGGGCGCTGGGCAGAGGCGCTTGGGGATCACGGGGGCAAGCCCAGATGTGGAGAGTGTAGTCTCAGGAAGGAAAGTCCAGGGGTCCCACTCAGGTGCGTCAGGACACCTGCCCACACCACAGGGACCCCACAGCAGGGACCTCGAGGCCGGCATCAGATACCACATGGACTCCAGAGCTCCCTGAGGGCAGACTGCTCATTCCTGGCTTCCCCCAGCATCTCGGGGAGCCCTGCCTGGCGTCCCATGGGACCCAGGGCAGCAGCACCGCAGGTGAGGGCGGGCGGCAGGGAACCTAGGACCAGTCCAGTGGTCCAGGGACAGCGCCACAGAGCGGTAGTCACAGCCACCAGCTAGTGCCGGCGAGCACCCGAGGGACCGGAGGTCCAGTGCTCACAATACTCAGCTCTGGGCAGCGTGGGCTCCTTTAGCAGGTGCGCGTGTGAACAAACGTGTTACATGCGCGTGGTACAGAGAAAGAGGACATCTTGCCATCTTCAGAAAACGCATGAAGACCTCCGCATGGGGTGCAGTAAGGTGGATGGGGCAGAGGAACCCCGAAAGCCTGCCCTAAGGTGTAGGATCTGAAAAGGTAGTCCCAGTGAGCAGGACAGCCCCTCGGGTGGGAGCCTTCCCCGGTCCAGGGGTGGGGATGGGGCGCGGTAAGGGGTGACCGGCAGGGTGCGATCAGAAGGGGCCCGCAGCCCAGCACGGGGCAGAGCTAAAATGCACCAAGAAAAGTGAGCTGGGCTCCGAAGCGCCCAGCTCCCCCAGCAGCTCGCAGGGCCCGGCAGCGGCTGGGCTGCAGTGAGCGGGCTGCCACGCAGGGCTGTTTGGGGGTAACTGCTTCCCGCGCTGCCCAGAGAGTGAAGGCCCGAGGGCGAGGCAGCGCAGGCGGCACCACCAGCGGGACCCGGAGGGCTCCACCTGCTGGGGCCAGCGCTGTTCGGCTCCTTTCCAAGCAGATTCCGCGATTGCGCACCTCTGAGCGCCTCCCTCACCTCATCCCAAACCAAACACGTTTCATCGCAGCCGTCCTAACAGCCGTGATGCTCCTGAAACGTGATGAGTCTGTGCTGTGCGCTGTGCTGCTGTGTTGGCTCGACACGTCCAGTTACTATGAGGAATAATTGCGTCCTGGAGCCGGCTACCATGCAAGGTGGCCCTGAGTGCTGCCGCCTAGGGTCCCTCAACAGGAAACGGACCCTGTCCACACTGGGAGATCCCAAAGAAATCCCTCGGAAAGCTACTGCAGCGACTCATTAGGCGCTAGGAGGAATTTTAGTGACTACCATTTTTTCTAGTTCTTTGTGTTTTATTTGGCAACCCTGTAAGTCGCAGAATTATCGTTTACATATAGATGCAATGAGGCAGCCCACTCGGGACCCTTCTGTCTCTCTCCGACACAAGCTTTCTTTTTCTCATATATTCTGCCCCTAACCTCCATTCTTCGGTTTTAGAGAACTTACCAATCGTACAGGACATAGCAGGTTGGCAGTTTCATTCCCCTATATCATTGGGAGGACCTCCCCTGAGACCACTGGACCGAGGTGAGAGTTTGCTTTTGTGTAATACACTCTGGACTGGGACTCATTTAGGTAAAAAGAAAGGAAGGAAGGAAGGGGGAGGGGAGGGGGAGAAGGAGGGGGAGGGAGAGAATTTAGATGCCAGAAAGCAGAACAGGATTGCTACATTTACGTGCAGTACTGCACTTGGCCACAAGAGGGCTCCCAGGTTCCCGGTCTCGTGGACCCCAGGACGAGATCCAAAGGTCCTCCATAGGGGAAGAGTGGGTGGGCAGCTGGCCCTTTCTTCGCTGTGAGAGGCTCTGGGGCTTGTGATGAAAGTGCTACCTGCCGAGGGGCCGCACAGACTCCCAGGTGTGCCAGGGGATCCCCGGCAGCCAGGTTCTGCAGGACACAGACTGGCTCCAGGCTGTCCCCTAGGGCCCGACTGGTTTCCTTGCTGGCCTGGCACTTGAGGCTCCTCCCTCAGCCCCCGTGGGTGCTGCCCCTCAGAGGGGCTGGACAGAGCCTGGCCCTGGCCGTGATGCCACCAGCACCTGGAAAACTTTAGGACCTGTCGTCTTTAGCCACCAAGGCTTTCGTGAGGCAACAGACTTCCCATTCCCTGTCTGGGAACTTCCAGGGCCCAGCTGTCCAGCACAAAGAGCCATATGCCCAAGCTGCAGCAGCACCAGGGCTACAGGGCACCCTGGGCACCCCTGTGGCCACCTGGGAAGCTGCAGGATGCCTGGCATTGCGCCAGCCCGACCTCCCTCCCCATAGCTGCTGCTCTGCAGCCAGGCCAGTGCTTCTCCCCCTGCACGGTTGGGGTTCACAGGGAGAGCTGTATCCCAGGAGGGCAAAGCGGGTCAGCAGGAGAGCAGGAGAGGCTGGGGGCAGAGAGATGGAGACGGGGCTGGGATGGGGACCACCGTGAGGTCTGAAAGCAGAATGGAAGCCCCTGCACCGTGTCACAGTGACCCTCATGGCACAGCTGGGGACTCGCTCGGTGGGTGACACGATGCCCAGCCTAGTGGACCCCACAGGACAGAGCAGGGCTGCGTGGACAGGGGAAGAAGGAGTGGCAGGGAGGGGCAGGAGTGCAGCCTGAGGTCACACGGGTGTGAGGTCAGCACAGGACAAGCTGGAGGAGGCAGCGAGGCCAGGGTGACAGAGGATGACACAGCACGCAGGCCACGCTGTGGCCCCAGCCAGGAGCCAGGTGCCTGTCCGTGCTTCTGGCTGCTCAGACCTCTGAGGAAGGGGCTCGGCCACCTTCTCTTCTCTCATGCAGCCAAGGGGCAGACAGATGACGCAGGCCCACAGTGAGGCCAGTCTCTTCAAAAGGCCTTACTACCTTTGAGACATCCTGGGGTTTGAACCCAGGACCTTTGCACTAAACTTACATCGCCAGCCCTTTTTAGTTTTTGAGATAAGTCACTAATCCACCCAGGACAGATTTAACCTTGTAATCCCCCTGACTCAGCCTTCCAGAGAGCTGGAATTACAGGTGTGTCCCATCCTCTACAAACACTTTAGCAGGTGGTGAAATGCCTCCAAAATGAAGCCACGAGGAAGCCAAACAGCCATCCGCCCCCTGAGGGATTCAGCGCCTCTTCTTTCCCCGTCCTCCCCTCCCGTGCTCCTGTAATGACCTCTGCTCAAAGACCAGGGCATGGAACTGCTGTGCTCAACACCTGTTCCAAGCCTGCTGGACGAACACTATGGACCCAGGAGGCTCCGCTGAGGTCAGAGATGACGGGGCATCCCGGAACTCGAGGCTCAGAGACATGGAGCCCAGAGCCAGGCAGCTGCAAGACCAGCGAGGATCGCGCCCAGACCATCCGGACTCCTGCTCTACAGCTCAGCTCCGAGGAGTCACCCGAGACTGCACAGAGCGAGCCCAGGGACAGCCTGGCTGGGACCCCAGGGTGGGTACAGACCGAATCCTAAGGGAAACCCTAGGGGACAGGGCTGACTGCACAGGCAGGGTGGGAGCTGGCTTCCCGGAACCCAACGCTCGTCACCAGGCTCCCCGCTCACACCCTGCCCGATGCCCGCACGGCCATGCATGCCCCGCACACTCACCGATGGTGTAGAACCTCTGCAGCCCACTCCTGCGTGGTGGCTGCTGCCGGGCGTTGGCCACGTTGTGCTGCTCCTCCTCGATCGTGGGGGTCTTGGGCGCCGTGGCCTTGCCAGTCTGGGGTGCTGCCTTCCCTGCCCCGGCCAAGGGCCCGAACCCCGGCGCCGTCATGTCCACCGACTGCGACTTCTTCTTCAGCCTGCACAGGGAGAGCACAGGGCCATGATCAGACCGCTCATCCCCTCGGCATCCTTCCGAGTTCGCTCCGGCCCTGAAACTGGACCAGGTCTGTTCAGAAACTCTACACCGCCCCCACCCCGTTCAACACAGATGCTTCAGACATTCTTTGGGAGCCAGGCTGGTGTCATCCACCTGCAGTCCCAGCACTTGGGAGGCTGAGGCAGGAGGACTGCCAAGACTTCAGGTTCAGCCTGGGCTACATAGGTAAGACTGTTTCAACGAAAAATAGTTTTTGGAAACCAGTTGGAAAAATGCTCTTCTGCCTAATCATTTAGGAAGGTCTCGTTAAAATAACAATCTAGTGATTCCAGCATCACCACATACCTTACAAATCAATAGGGGGAAATACTTCAAAATGCACAGAGCATTTGATATAAAATTCAGTAGAGAATAAACATATGGGGCAGAAAATGTACCCAGATGTATGGCAACAAAGCAAGCTAAATGTCCTGCCAGACAATGGTAACACACTAGAGTTTGTATTCAGGTCTGAAATGGGTATTTTCAGGAATATGGAAAGAGGTCAGTGAGACACAAATCAGGGAAGGGCAGAGAAGTGGTGGTTTCAGAGGCCCCGGCGCTTTCAGCTGCGGCCATGCAGCATCCTCGCACTCAGAGCCTCAGGACCCCACTGCAGCCACAGGTGGGGCTCCGAGCTGCTGTTCCAGTCCTGAGAGAGGACCTGAGATCTCACGAGGGAGGAGGGACAGAGTGGGGCCCCTAGGCCGTTTTCACACCCCGCAGGTGTCTGGGTATCCAGATCACCCATAAGTGACAGGAGTGAACATTAGACACAGTGCATGCGATGGCACCAAGCCGTGTGTGCCTGGGCCTCGGTGCTCACGTTAAGAGCCTCTGTGTATGCACCTGTGTGAGGCCTCGAGACTGAACCCAGGGCCTTTGCACTGAGCTACATCCCCACTCTGCTTTTACCTTTTATTTTGAGAAAGGGTTTTACTAAGTCACTAAACTGCCTGGACTGAACTTGAGCCTGGGATCCTCTTGCCTTAACCTCCCAAGTGCTGGAAGCCCAGGTGTACACCACACCCCAGCTTTTAGGTGGCACTGGTGACCGTTGAGGCTCCCCCAGAGGAACAGGAGGTGGCAGGCGGGAGGCATACCCTGCAGCAGGCAGCTGCCCAGGGCACCACGGCCCTTCCCCTCTCCCCACCCACCAGCCCTGTCTTCCTTCTCCTGTGCACCCTGCGGCCTCTGCTCCAGGATGCCCAGACCTGGCCTCGAGGCTCCTGCTCTCCACAACCAGGCTTTGCTCTGCCTTCTCAGAAAGCAGAACCGTGGCCGCCACTCTGCAAACAACCACTGTAGCTGACAGGGAACCCATTAACTGCCACCTCCCCATCCACATTTCCCTGAAAGGGGCGTCTCTGTTTTAAACAATGTGCTTAATTAAATGTGTCAAACAGTTGTAAACACAGGCTAATGGTATATGTAGGTGTACATGAGCTCAGACTCCCTTGGAGAACAAGTGAGACTTTGCACAGGGACAGAGGTGCTCTCTCCATAGGCATGGAAAGCACCTGCCTGATGTCCACAAAGGCTGTACTTTCCGGGGGGCTGCGGGAGGGAGCAGGGGGCTGAGTGGGGCCATCCTGGTGCAGGCACAGCCCTGCTTCTCTGGCTCCTCTCCATCCATTCTAATCTCTACCTACAACCCGGATAGCGATCCAAGGCTCAGCTTCAAGGGTGTGAGTTCCAGCCTCTGAACTCATGCCTGGCCCTGTGTGACCAGGGACAGGGTAGAGCACATGACCTGCTTGGGCTCCTTTGCTGCTGCCCAGCCCTGAGGATCCTGGTGCCTGTGGGGCTGAGCTGGACCCGGTGGTAAGAACAGGTGCCCGGAAGCCTCAGGTGTGGGCATCCCCGCCCTGTCCAGTCCACTCAGGGGGCAGCACCAGGACCGTGGACAGAGGCAGCACTCCCTGGTGACACGGTGAGTCTGATGCTTATGGAGTGTGTGGAACAGTCTCTGGTAGGTGACAGGTGTTGCCTTATATTTTACTTCAAACAGAAAGCAGCCTGAAAAGCTGCCGGCTCTCGGGGACACGGCCCCATGCACACTGTGGCCCTGAGCCATGCACTGACTGTACGGCCCCGAGCCCCATGCACACCGTGGGCCCCGAGCCATGCATCTTCAGTGCATCCAGTCTGTGGGCAGTGACGCTGGAGAAAGGAGCTGAAACCCCGCCAGGGCTTCTGACCCGCAGCCCTGCTCCAGAGTTAGAGACACAGGCGTGTCCCGCTCTTACACGCACGGGCCAGGTGGCTCTCGGCAGGATTTGCACAGCACAGGCCTCACCCTGCACTTGGGACAGCTGAGTTCCGCTGCTTGGTTCCGCTGCTTGGCCCAGGGGAGCCGAGCTCCTTGCTGTGAAGCGGGGAGGGTAAAACCCCACACCATCCACTGGGCTGGGGCAAACCCTCGCTGCGCCCATTTGTTCAATCTGCTCCGTAAGTGTGCGTGGACGCATGCATGGGCACCTGTCCCCAAAGCCACAAACTCGGGGTCCAGTCAGCGAATCCACAGCACAGAGCGCACTTGGGCTGCGCCCCCCGCCATGTGCAGCTGCCCTGCTTCCAAGACGGCACCTCAAGGGCAGCTAAGCTGCTGAGAGCGCAGGTTTGCAAGTGGGGGTCGGAGCGCTGTGGAGGTCTCAAGTCACTCAGGAAGCGCACTGGAAACAAGTGCCTAAAAATTCCACCCTGCAGAACCGAGGGCTTTGTCACCCTCCTCTCCTGCACCCAGTCAAAGTCAGCAGCTTGAAGCAAGCCGATTTGGAAGCTCTGCCACAGAGAAATTATGACGGGCACCTGTGCACTGAAAGAAGCTACTCCCACGGGCAGAGAGCCTGGCAGTGCCATCCCACTCAGCGATGACCCGGCCACAGGGTCCTTCTGGTCCCTAGATAGCAGGGCTGAGACGGAAACTCAAGAAACGCACCAAGTTCATCCCAGTGATATTTTGTTTTTATTTTGGTACCAGGAATCGAACCTCTCACTTGCCAGGCAGGTGCTTACGCCGCTGAGCTAAATCGCTGGCCCCCAGTGATATTTCGTGAACTTCCCCTTCCGTGCACTTTCGGCCCTGTCATCGTACTGGGTGCACCCCCTCTGAGATGACATAAATACTCAGTTTACTCCAGCTTCTGCCTCAGAACTTCAAAGTCTTTCAACTGGAAAAGCTAGGAAGTGGAAGCACATAGTGTCAATCTAAGGAGCAGGGCTTCAGTCTACTCTTACAAATGTTAGATCGTCTTCCGCAACAGCCCTCGGAGCTGAATTTAATTTCATTACCTCTGATGAGCTGATTTTGAGCAGACTACAGGCACATGGACCGCGCGACCCTGTTTATTCATTTCAGAACGATGGAAGCAGAGTACGGCAGACTCAGGACTGCGGGCCGTCTTCCTGCTTATGGCTCCCGAATGGCACCGCCACCTGCATGGTGCCGGCTGCCGGAGGCTGGAGGTCACGATGATTCCCTCCTGGCGTGTCCTTCACACAGACCTTAGGCCTCCACCGCTCTGTCTGCTGCCTCCTCCCTGGGGCACCACCTGACTGGCCCAGTGCTGAAGGCTCCTTGGTCTCTGCTCAGACTTTGTCTCCCACTTCCTGTCAGCTCACCACAGCTACAGCAAGCATCGCAAGCTACAGAAGAGTGGCCCTGGTCCCATGGTGACCCCGCCCTGCTCCCTGCTGCCCGGGCTGTGCCTGGCGCCCACCCCGTCTTCACGAGGAGATGCCCAGGGCGTGGTGTCCTGGAGAGCTTGCCTGTCTTCTTCCATCCTTCCTCTGTCACAACGCCCCAAATCTTTCTCAGGAAATCACCGTCAGGGTTTTGCACATAGAAGGCACACTGCTTGTGGCAGTTCTGTGACACACTGTGCTGTCTCCTTGTTTATGTTTTGATACTGTTGGGGAAATTCTGACTTTGAACATGATGGCTGGATTCCAGGTTGAAGAGCTGGGAGAGAAGAGCTTTAGGGTGAGTCCACTTCCTGGAGCAGAGCTAGCAGAGCTCCCTTCCCCAACTTCGGTCTCGCGTCTCTCAGGGCTAAGTCACATCTGAAGACAAACAAAGAGGCAGCAAGATGCCAGGATCACACACAGACAGAGCTGGAGGCAGGAGGGATGCACATGTCCGTGTACATTAACCACCGATGGCAGAACGCCCGGCCAACTTCCCCACGTAACCCTCAGGATATTCAGTCAGTGACCAAAAATAAGAAATAAAATCTGATGGTGGCAGAAACAGCAATATTAAATAGCAACTTTAACAGGGCTTTAAAAGGGTCGGGAGCCGCTGCAGTGTAACTCCTGTCCAGGGCAGTGACGAACTGGCTCCCTGAGCTCTTGATGTGCATGGGAAATGGAGAGCCAGCCCTGAACACAGGAGGCCATGGGTGTCTCTCCATGTCACACCTGCAGGCCACACGGTGACCACTAGCCGCACAGGGCTGAATTCACCTGAGGGACACAGGGACAGCCCTGGGCAGGGCCACTGGGTAGGACTCTGAGTCAGTGGCGGCTGGCCAGTCGGCTCTGCTCCATGGGCTCTAGGCTGCAGGAGGAGCCCGGTGACCCTCTGGGCGTGGGAGCCGAGTGGATGTTAAGCTGCCCTCCAAGGCCTCTTCCCCTTACTGTGCCAGTGGTCACTGTCTCGGCCACCATCTGTGTGTCACCTGCCGCCCTGAGTCCCCTCTGTGCCCAGCCTGCATGGTCTCTGGGGTCACTGTGAGGCCCCACTCTGCCCTGGGCCAGTGCCTCCAATTCTGCTCTTGCTGGGCCTGCTCCGGCTCCCAGCCTGCAGTCTCCTCCCCATGCAGCTCCAGAGGGTCCCTCAAGGCACAGGACCAGTCTGCAGGCAGAGCTGGCTGCTGCGTGGCCGCCTCACACCCTCAGGAGCGAGTGCTCTGTGCCCCTTGGTGCTGACCTGTGCCA